GTTCATCAGCTTTGCTTAAAGTCAGTAGAATCTGCTTTCAACCCTGTTGGGAAAATCATGCAGTTCAGAAGCCTGGTTATGAAACACTTCTAATCCCCAAGATAGCATTTACTCTGCTGTTGAGAAATGTTGCTAGTTGTGAGACTAGCTCTGGGCAGCGCTGCATCAGGAAGCTCCTGACAGACTCAGCGTGGATAAGGCTTTGCTAACTAACCCTCCACTGTTGCTCCCATTCTTCACTAAATATTTCTCCTGCAGCCTCTATTCTACTCTTCTCTCCCTTCCATTCCACAGCCTCTGTGCTTAATGCTTCTTCCTCTCCACCAGCCTGAGATCTCAAACTTTCAGAAAAGCGCTTCTTGGAATGCCATCTGGCCAACCGTTAGATGTGTCCAGACATTCACCGTGCAGATTATCTCCAGGAAGGAAGAAAAATAGCAGAGTCTCAGAACTATTTATACAATTATCCTGCAGGCTTTGGCCTGGAAAATACAAAACTAGGACTTTGAGGGTTTGATTGCATTTCTTCTTTCCTGTATTTCATGAAGTTTAAATTGTAACCATCTGTTTCAGAGGATATAAAAATCCTGAATTCCATCTCCTTCCACGTTAACCGGCTCTAGCCCTCTGGGGAACTTGCAGTGGTGGAGGTGTGCAGTGAGAGGTGGAGCAACGTCACAGTGTGGAGCCACCATCAAGTCACAGCTCGGTCCCTGTCTGCCCCGGCAGCCTCCTCTCTCAGAGATGCATCTTGCACTGTCGTAGTGACACTCACACTATGTTTTCTGCTTGTTTGATCAAAGTATTGAGGAGGATGGTGATGATGGTAAAAGCTCTCTTCCAATTCTTATTAGAGACTATAAATGACTTATTTTGACTCTTTTTTTTTTTTTTGCTCCTCTTTCATTCTCAAAAATATCCCCAAATTATTCCAGCATTCAGAGGCCTTTCACACTTGGTGATTAATTTAATCTGCTTTCATTTTTATAGCCTGTAGGGTGGGGTGGGTGTCACAAACACCACTCCAAAATTCACTATCTGCCATGGGTCTTAACCTCCTCCTTACTCTGTCGCCCTCCCCCCTTAATTCAGCGTGGAATCCTCAGTGTCTTCCCTGTCAGCTGGAGGCAGCCATGACCTTGCCACTTCTTGCCACCCAGAGGAACACTGTGCTCCTTTGGGTTCATGCTTTAGACTCCAATTTCCTTTCTTAGTAGTCTTTTTTTAAGAAAAAAAAGATTTATTTATTTGAAAGTTAGAGTTACAGAGAGGCAGAAGCAAAAAGAGAGAGAGAGAGAGAGAGAGAGAGAAAGAGAGGTCTTCCATTCGCTGGTTCACTCCCCAGATGGCTGCAATGGCTGGAGCTGCATGGATCCAAAGTGAGGAGTCAGGAACTTCTTCCGGGTCTCCCACATGGGTGCAGGGGCCCAAGGACTTGGGCCATCTTCCACTGCTTTCCCAGGCCATAGCAGAGAGCTGGATCGGAAGTGGAGCAGCCGGGACTCAAACAGGTGCCCATATGGGATGCCAGCAGTGCAGGTGACGGCTTTACCTGCTACGCCACAGCACTGGCCCCTCTCAGTAGCCTTTATCTCTCTTCTCTCAAAAACAGTTCCTCTCCCCAACCTCCAACTGATATATGTTTTTATTGAACACCATTTCCTGTGCACTCTGTGCTAACGGAGATGCAGAGTTAAATAGGACTCAATTTATAAAATTTATTTTAATTTATTTGAATGTTAGAGAGACACAGACACACACATGGTGGGGGGAGAGAGAGAGGGAGAGAGAGAGAGAGGGAGAGAGGGAGAGAGGGAGAGAGAGAGAAAGATATTTAATCCACTGGTCCACTCTCTAAAATGCCCACAACAGTCCAGTCTGGGCCTGGCCAAACCCAAGAGCTAGGAACTCAACTTGAGTCTCCCAGGCGGGTGTCAGGGACCCAACCACTTCAGCCATCATCTGCTGCCCTCCCAGGGTGCATGTTGCTATGAAACTGAACTTGAGCGAAGCTAGGACTAAAATCCAGGCAGTCTGATATGAGGTGTGGGTATCTCACATGGGGTCTTAGCTACGGTGCCGAATACCCACCAGCAAAATGCAATGTTTATCTCATAGTAATAGAATCTAACAGAGAACAAGGCATGTAAAAAAAAAAAAAAGGCATGAAACCCAATGAAACAAGAGCTTCACGAGAAAGTTATTGGGGCCAGCATTGTGGCACAGCAGGTAAAGCTGCCGCCTGCGACACCAGCACCCTATGTGGGTTCTGGTTCCAGTACCAGCTGCTCTTCTTCCAATCCAGCTCCCTGCTAGTGCACCTGGGAAAGCAGTAGAAGATGGCCCAAGTCCTTGGGCCCCTGCACCCAGGGAGACCCGGAAGAAGCTCCTGGCTTCAGTCTGGCCCAGGCTTGGCTGTTGTGGTCATCTGGAGAGTGAACCAGCAGATGGAAGACCGCTCTCTCTCTGTCTACCACCCCCAACTTTGTCTTTAAAATAAATAAAATAAATCCTTAAAAAAGTTATGTGGTGTAGAGGAGAAATGATTCATTAAGTATGAAATTGCATTTCTCTCTTCTACATGCATGACTTTCTAGTATTCGATGGGGGGGCTTCTTATGATCAAGGCATGTTTTTCATCTTTGATGATCACATTCTACCTTTTGGGGGTCTCACAGATAAATATGACCTTTCATGGTGCCTGTTGGTGTTGGTTGTGATATGGAAATGAGATTTGGAGTGTGCGGTAATGTGGCATCTGACTACTTTTTTTTGAAAGATTTATTTCAATTCTTTGAAACAGAGTTACACAGAGAGTGAGAGGGAGAGGGAGAGAGAGAGAGAGGTCTTCCATCTGCTGCTTCACTCCCCAAATGGCTGCAATGGCTGGAGCTGGGTGGATCCAAAGCCAGGAGCCAAGAGTTTCTTTTGGGTCACCCACACGGGTACAGGACCCAAGGGCTGTGGCCATCCTCTGCTGCTTTCCCAGGCTCATTAGCAGGGAGCTGGATTGGAAGTGGAGCAGCCAGGACTTAAACCAGTGCCCATATGGGATGCTGGTGCTGCAGGCCAGGGCTTTAACCTGCTGCACCACAGCACCAGCCTCCATCTGACTACTTTTTAAAAATTGTGTAGAGTTTACCAAGAACAGACACACATGGTGGTTATGGCAAAGATGCACAGACTCGTGGAAGAAAGAGACAACACAGTGAGTCTGAAAGAGCAAGGTGGGGGAAAGCACCATGCAGCCCTGAGGCGGAGGAGGAGAGAAAGCCTGGGGGCAGACAGGTTTTCTTGATGTGTCTTGCAGGAGAATGAGAGAGGCACCCACAGACACAGCTCTCCATTTGCATCACTGCAGACAGAGGCATTTTTAACAACTGCCAACTTCAACGAATGAGATTCACTCATGCTTAGGACCCTAAGCCCTTAGGGAAGCTAAAACAAATATGGTAGAGCTAAAAGTGCACAAATTGTTATCAGTGCATTTTCTGGGGGCCAGAGGAGGGAGAAAGACAATGAAATAGAGAGATACAGTTACCTAGGAGAGATCACAAGACACAACATCTCTTCTTATCTTGAAGAGGTAGTCATATTCTTGTGTAAGAGGAGTAATTAACAACTTAAAAAAAAAAGTGAAAGGAATACTAGAAAGAATGTTCTGGGAAGCATGTAAGGTCTTGGCTAAACCAACAAAATGATCCATTCTTTGGTCGCGATGTGGAGTTTTGTTCTCTCCACCATACCTGGATGGAGATTTAGCTCGAGAAGGATTCCTTGCACACCTGGCTATCACAAACCAATTGGTGACATGCCTCTGGGGGAAGACTCAATAAAGTTAACTACTTTTTTAAGTTAATGAGGTGAAGGTGGGTCTGAACTCAGCATGCTCTCTGTCCACAGAGCTGTTGTCACTGAAGTGGAAACCCAAAGGAGGAGAATTTCTTTCCAACCTGACCTGTGTTTCACTCCAACTTGGGGATGCTCACTAGGGACTGGGAGGGGCAGAGGGCAGCAGTAGGGGCACTCGTGGCCATTCAGTCCAAGGTGCTCAGCAGCCTCACCTCCCCCAGCCCCCCAGGAGTCCCTAGCAGGAGTGGAGGCCCCATGTGACCAAGGCACAAGCCAATGAGGGGAGTCTTTGATTTGTGGCTCCATTTGAAGCCACACACTGGCAAGCCCAAGGCAGGGTGCCGTGGCTTCAAAGCCTGGCCTGGCTGGCTTGGGGCTGGGAGGTGGGGAGGGCTGCAAGTTTAAGAGGTTGCCAAGCAAGGGAAACAGCGGGCAGATACATGAGGACAGGCTAGAGCCGAGGGTGTCTATTTCAGGTGGATGCCTAGCACCAGGGAGTCCTTGGATGCGTCAGCCAGCGCTTCCCACGAGGAGTTTCCTGTAACTGCACTAAAAGGAGAGCACCAGCCTTGTAGACCTCACAGATGGTCCCTGAGGATGGTGTTGGCAACATTTTCTCCCTGGACCATCCTATTTCACATTTTTTCAAGGCAAGATAGGCAAAGTGTCTGCTGCAGGTGCCAGACAGCCCTGTGCTTGGCATCTACAGGGCTTTGTCCCACCTGTCTTACTGCCACCTCGGCAGTTCAGAACCATGTCTCCAAGCTTGTTTGTACATCTCATCGATAAAAGTATTTGAGCATGTACTCCCATTACAGACCTAATTTCCCGTATGGTATGCATGTTAGAAAGCCTATATGGAAATAGAAATTACAACACTATAGGATAAAAATAAAGTGTCAGAGGAAGTTTTAATACTTTCCTGCAGTTCCCCAGTGGAGTTTCTCATGCACTAGGACGGTGCAGGCACTTACTTTGAAGATGAGAGGTGCTGCAATTTTGTGGTAGTGGCCTGCTGGGCAACCCATTCACAACTCATGTGTGTCAGGAACTTGGGCGATATTGGCTCCATTCTCATTCAAAACTGTCATAGACCCTTATTATCCATCGATTCTCTCCATCTACCTTTCCCCACCCTCTCAACTCACACATCGGTAAGATGTCAATCATCAAAGGAGTGAACCATGGTAAATCTTCTTACAACAGGATGGTTTAAGTTTACTGCCACGTGTATTGAGGATTAGCTGGGGTTCATCACCTGGAAATGGCCTAAATTCTGGCCTACAAAGAAAAGAAATGGGAAAATTAGGATGGTAGTTGTGAATTTGCTGGAAAAATTAGAGGGAGATGGATCATGTACTTCAAATTCTTCTTTCTCTTTCCATTACTTTCAAAAAGGCAATTTGATGATACTAATTATATTTCTCTATTATGTGCTTTATCTGGTCCTCTAGAATTGATTTATGATTATTTGAGGAAAATATAAGAAGGCTGCTTTTCTTCTTGTAGTTATTTTCTTAGGTATTTGCTCAGTTTAAAAAATCACTCCCTTTAAAATTACTACATCTAGATTTGAAATGTCCCATTAGATAAAAACATTGATGTTTTTTGAGCTTGTCCCAAATTGTCCTGAATTCATTTTCAGTGACTGGAGTGGAGTTCTGGGGAAACATGTGCAGTCTTTCATAAACTCTGCCAATGCTGCCCAGTCTGTATTTCTCAAGGTAGTAGTTAGATTTTAGAAAGATTAAATTACTGTTAAGCTATGGCTCCTTTCAGATTTTTCTTATGGACAGCACGTATAATGGTTGAATCCATGGCATCTCTATAAGATAGTGACAAAATGTTATCTTTGCCAATTGCTTGCTTACTGCTAAAGATTCAAAAAGAAGATTTCAGAACCCACAATTGAAAGACAAAAGATGTACCCTTGAGTTTTATACCAAAGTAGTTTCATAAGTCACAATTTGTTGATTAGCCCATAAACCCAATGGTGGTATAATTTTCTTTAGTTCATTGCTGTATCCTGACACCTAAAATTGTTTCTGGCACAGAGAAGGCACTTAGTGAGTACAAAATTAATGAATGAATTTATAGAGGATGGAAAGCCAAAGTATTACCATTGATACACAGAACTATAAATATACCTGGGGAACAAAGGAAAACATCATTAGAAGAACTGAACAGGAGACACACTGTAGTTAGAAAAAAAAGAATGAAAATTGAAGTGTTTATGAGAAGTGAAATTTTTAAATTTTCTTTCAAACTAAAGCTTGATTGTTGCTTAATGTTTAATTTATACTTTTGCTGGATTAAAGCAGTTTCACTCATATAATGTGATTATTTTTTAAGTTGCTAAAATGGCATCCAAACTAATATTGTACAAGAAGTTATGGCTGAGAGCCAAGACTGGGACACAAATCCATCAGAGCGGAAAATGTTTTGCCTCAGAGCTGCCGAGCACGAGGAAAGGGTGGATGGCAGTCACCAGGCTACGTCCATTTGTCCATCATTTCTGTATCCATGCACTGAGCGTGGCCCTGCATCCTGAGGATGTGGAGGAAAAAGGAATTGCTCCACAGACTCAAAGATCTCATAATCAAGCAAAGAGACGGATTTGTGGGTGGGTAAATGCCAGCCCTAGCTGTAATGAACATGTGCACCTGCGGCAAGACAAGCAGAAAGGAGGGCTGGCATAGGTAGGCCATGGGCATGTGTGCACACACACACACAGACACACATACATAAACACCAATCACACAATATAAACTCACTCACTCACACACACATACATAAACACCAATCACACAATATAAACTCACTCTCTCTCACACACACACACACACACACACACAGCATATAAGCAGATCTGCCAGACAGGACAGGAAGGGACTGGTTTCTAGGGGCACGTGGTGCAGTGGCCATCTGACAGGGAGGACAAGCAGTGAAGTCTCCATACTCATTTCCTAGGATTGCCAAATCGAAGGAGCATAGACCAGGTGTTTTAAGCAGCAGAAACTTACTCCCTTACTGTCAGGATACTGGAGCTTCAAGATCATAGTGCCTACTGGATTTGTGTACTCTGAGGCATCTCTCCCTGGCTTCCACGTGGCTGTCCGCTTGCCTCTTCTCATGGTTCTTTCTCTGTACCCCACCCTGGTATCTCTCTGAGTTCAAATCTCCTCTTCCTATAAGGAGACCAGTTAAGTTGGATTAGCATTCACAGCCCTTGTTTTAATTGAATCACCTGTCTCCAAACTCAGTTGCATTCTGAAGTACTGGGTGTTAGGTCTACAACATCGGAATTTTGCAGGACCACAATTCACCCAAACCAGACTCTGTAGCAGCAATTCTCAAAGTGTGAGGATGTAGACCCCTGGGGGTTTTCAAAATGCCTCCAAGAGGTCAGAAAAGTCAGCATTATTATCCTAGTAATATTAAGACATTATTTGCCTTTTTCACTGTGTGGATACTTGCCCTGATGCTGCCCAAGCAGTGGGGTTACAACTACTCACGTCTCAGCATACACCATGGTAATGGTACCCAATGGTTACCAGTACTCATGGTATTCTTCATCGCAATTCATGTACTGAACAGCCCTGAAAAGGCGGTATGAAATCGTAATTTGATTAAATGTTGATCTTTGAGCACATGTCTGAATATTCTGTGACAGAAAGGAAAACACTTCTGTTACTGTATTAGACAGCTTTTCATTACTATAATGAAATGCATTAGGCAGCATAGTTTATGAAGAAAAGAGGTTTACTTTGGCTCATGTCTCTGGAGACCCAAATTCCCAAGGGCTTAACACAGGCTTTGACAAGGAAGGGCCATCCATGGATGCTTTGGCTTGTGGCAGAAGTATGTGGGTCTGCTCCTGCCTTCGGATCAGTGCGGTTCACCGGCCGCCATGCTCCGGCTGCGGCGGCCATTGGAGGGTGAACCAACGGCAAAGGAAGACCTTTCTCTCTGTCTCTCTGTCTCTCTCTCTCACTGTCCACTCTGCCTATAAAAAAAAAAAAGTATATGGGTCTCTCTCTCTCTCTGTGCTTCATTGGTCTCTGTCCCACTCTACAAAGCCACTGGGATACAATCATGGGGTGTCCCCCAAATGATCTGATCTGCTAATCACTTTGCAAAAGTCCAGCCTCTAAATATCATAGTCAGATTATGTTTCCACCCGATTGATGACGCTAACTATGACTTTGCGGTTTGAATTCCTACATGAGATTGGGGAGACAAATCATAGTCAAACCATAGCAGGTGCTTATGAAAACATCATGACTGGGGGCTGGTGCTGTGGCATAGGAGGTAAAGCCTCTGTCTGCAGTGCTGGCATCCCATATGGGTGCCGGTTCGAGTCCTGGCTGCTCCACTTCCAATCCAGCTCTCTGCTACAGCCTGGGAAAGCAGCAGATGACCCAAGTTTTTGGGCCCCTGCACCCGCATGGGAGACCCTGAAGAAGCTCCTGGCTCCTGGCTTTGGATCAGCACAGCTCCTGCTGTTGTGGCCAATTGGGGAGTGAATCAGCAGACGGAAGACCTCTCTCTCTCTCTCTGCCTCTCCCTCTCTCTGTGTGTGTAACTCTGACTTTCAAATAAATAAATAAATCTTTAAAAAAAAAAAGATAAAGAAAACATGGCTGTTTCAAGGAACAGCACATGTACAGTTCGGGTTGTGAGCTAAGCTAGCTGCTTCCTTTATGGAACATTCTTTCTACCTGAGAGAATGACTGGCAAATGGTTATTCAGATTTCATTGTTTGAAAATCATTTTCTTAATAATGAATCAAGTGAGTTGGTCACTCAAGGAAAAACAACAGATAGTTTTTGTTTCTTTTGAGCTTTTAAGCAAAAATCAGATTTTTGAAAGTCTTCTAGCAGGCATCCAGAGTTTGATGCTTTCATAATACTCAAAGATGTCTGGGGTCAGTGCTGTGGCATAGCAGGTAAAGCTGCCACCTGCAGTGCCGGCATCCCATATGAGTGCTTGTACGAGTCCCAGTTGCTCCACTTCCAATTCAGCTCTCTGCTATGGGCTGGGAAAGCAGTGAAAGATGGCCCAAGTCCTTGGGCTCCTGCATCCACATGGGAGACCTGGAAGAAGCTCCTGGCTCCTGGCTCCTGGCTCCTGGCTTCAGATCGGCCCAGCTGCAGCCATTGTGGCCATTTGGAAGCGTATGGAAGACTTCTCTCTCTGTCTCTGTCTGCCCCTCTGTAACTTTGCCTTTCAAATAAATAAATAAATCTTTAAAAAGAATACTCAAAGATTTTCAGATAATCCTAGTGGTAAGAATGAATGCAGATTTTTGCTATTAAATAATGAATCAGGTAAATATTTAAAATATCTTCACAAATTAAAATATCTTCACAAATTGGTGAATCAGTGCATTATGTTATAAAACAATGCATGGGTAATGATGAAAGACCCCTTCAAATTACAAGATAGAGCAAACAGATTAATGTAACTGATTAAGGAAAGTTCACTTCTGTAACTTCATATTCCATATCACCACTAAACTTAGGAAATTACTACTTGTCTGTGTCTGGTGAAGTTTCAAATAATACTCACAACTGTATGAAAATGCTATGAAATTCTCTAGTTTTCAAGCCCATATCTGAACAGGCCATATTTTTTTTTTCACACACTTAAACTAAACATATTCAGTAGATTGGATGCCAATATAGCTGTAAGAATCCACCTACTGTTAAAGAATTATCAAATTTGGCCTTAAAATTTTCAGTTTATTTTCACATTACTTGAAAGGCAGAGAGAGAGAGAGAGAGAGAGAGAGGAAAAAGACAGGCAGAAATCGTCCATCCTCTAGTTCTTCCCCCAAACACCTACCACAGCCAAAAGTAGGCTGGGATAAAGCCAGGAGCTTGGAACTCAGTCAAAGTCTTGCACACAGGTGACATGGACCCAAGTACTTGAGCCATCATCTGCTGCCTCCCAGGAAACACGTTAGCCGGAATCAGAGGAGCTGAGATATGAACCAGGCACTCTGATATGGGATACAGCAGTCCCAAATGGTATCTTAACCCCAAGCTTGATATTAAGACTCTGAAAAAATTGTAAAACAATGTCAATTTTCTCATTAAATTTTTGCTTTGGAAAATATACTTTTTCATAAAATATGTTATTTACATTAAGATACAATGTAAGTATTATTGCTTTTAAATGCTTCAGGAAGTACTTTAAAATCTGTATGATAAATAACTAAAGAACTATAGAGCTTTAACTTACACAAGCCACGGTTTTTTGCAGTTTTTATAATAATGTTTAAGAGCACAAAGCATTCTGGAGGCCAAAAAAGTTGAGAACAAGTGCTATAAAGACACAACTTTCACCACTAAGATGCATTGTGGAACATAAGGAAATAGGCACGGAAGATTAACTGAAATTATAAGATGTTAATTGAGCAGAGATACCCACCAGCCTGCCACGGGGACATCAATGCCCCAGTAACCGCACTGTGCTGCATGGGCCTATTCCAATGCATTTGCAGTTGTAGGGTTTATGGACTGTACTGCGGAACCTGGAGACATGACACAGTCATTCCTCAATATCTTTGGGAAATTTCTTCCAGGGCCCCCATATCAAAACCTGCAGATGTGTCCAAGTCCCTTATTACAATGGTGCATACAAGCATTTACATACAACCTATGCACAATCTCCTATGTAATTTAAATTGTCTCTAGATAATCTGTATTACCCCCATGCAATGTAAATGCTATTTAAATAATTGTTATACTATATTTTTTATAAAATAGTGAGAAAAATGTTTGCATATGTTTAATATAGATGCAGTCTTTTTCCTGAATATGTTCCATCCATGGTTGGTTGAATGCACAGATTCAAAACCCATTGTTACAGTGGGCCAACTGTACATTACTGGGATCACATGGATAGGAGTAAGTGGCCCTCACATGGGACAGGAGACCAGATGTGTCTTGTTCACCGACATCTCCTTACACCTGTGACAATGCTTAAGTCATGACTGGTTCTCGTTTATGGCATAAACAGTAAATGAATGTCATGCTCCCTTTTATACTCCATGATAAAGAAGAGACATCAGGTATTTACTGCACAGCTCCCAGTGATCAAAACTGGCCTATAAATGATATGACCTCTGTTATCAAAGTTTATGGTTAGACACAGAGGATCACTGGGTGATAAGAAAGGCTATTTAAACACATTCAGGGTGATCAAGGAGCTAGGATTTAAGCTGATGAGAAAAGAAAAAGTAAACAGTGGTCTAAAACCTACATGTTAAAGAGAAGTAGGAGATAATTTTTAAAGAAAGTTTTTTTTTTTTTTTTATGGCCTACTATAAAGGCAGAGCAACGGGGGCGGATGCTGTTGCGTAGCAGGTAAAGCTGCTGCCTGCAGGTGCTGGCATCTCATATGGGCACTGGTTTGAGTCCCGGCTACTCCACTTCCAATCTAGCTCTCTGCTATGGCCTGGGGAAGCTGTAGAAGATGGCCCAAGTGCTTGGGCCCCTACACGCATGTGAGAGACTAGGAGGAAGCTCCTGGCTCCTGGCTTTGGGTCAGCCCAGCTCCGGCCATTGCAGCATTTGGGGAGTGAACCAGAGGATGGAAAAACTCTCTCTCTCTCCCTCTATCTCTCTCTCTGTGCCTCTGCCTCTGCCTCTCTGTAACTCTGCCTTTCAAATAGATAAAATAAAAATCTTTAAAAAAAAGCAGAGCAATAGAGAGAGAAAGAAAGAGAGAAAAAGAGAGACAGAGGGAGAAAGAGATCTTCCATCTACTGGTTCACTCCACAAATGCCAGGAACATTCCAGGGTGGCCAGGCTGAAGCCAGGGCTGGGAGCTCCATTTGGGTCTCACACATGGATGGCAGGGTTCCAAGTACTTGAACCATCATCTGCTGCCAGCAAGGATGCATTAGAGCAGTGAGATGGACTGGAAGTAGAGATGCTGGGACTCAAACAGGCACTCCTCTATGTGAGACACAGGGCTTAACGCTCTGCCACAACACCTGCCCCAGGGAGACACTTCTGATTAGCGAGGATAGAATGCAGCTGTGAAAGAACTTAAACATTAGGTTATTGAACCAAACGTGACTTTAAGACTTCGAGCTTCAGTGTTGTTTCATATTTTAGACTTGAGGAAAGTCAGGCCCAGGGATCTGGTGACATGCATAAGGGGACACATGTCAATGTGGGTGATGAGACTCTTCAATTCCCAGGAAAGACAATCTTTCATTCATTCTTATTATCACATTGCTGAGGTCAAACTGGGACCTGTTGCCAAAAGCAGTGGAATCCATAAAGGAGCATGGGGCAGAGTGGCATTCGCTCCACATCTGTGAAGGGTCTTCAGAAAGCTTGTGGACAACGAGTGTTCCTTTTCATTTCAATTTCTCATGAAACTTTTGAAGTTCCCTCCTATTAATTGCTGGATGATTACATGAAGCGTTGCTTCTGCAGAAAGACTGTTGAGGCAAGGAAGACAGAGAATATCCATAATCCAAGGTTGAAGCTCTCGGATTCTGGTGACGGCAGTGGGATTGGAAAGCAGATAAATCATCTCCATTTTTCCTTCTTTTTTAAATTTTCATTTGTTTGAAAGGGGGGGAGGGAGGGAGGGGAGAGAGAGAGAGAGAGAGAGAGAGAGAGAACATCTTCTATCTGCTGTTTCACTCCCCAAATACCCACAACAGCTAGGGCTGGGTAAGCAGGAAGCAAGGAACCATCGTGTCTTCCATCTAGATGGCAGGGACCCAAGTACTTGAGCCATCACCACTGCCTTCCATGGTGTGTATTAGCAAGGAACTGGATCGGAAGCAAAGCAGAGACTCAAACTCAGGGACTCCTATATGGGATGTGGTTGTCCACAGTGGCTAAACCAGCTAAACTATTTTCTGATTGCACCTTCTTTACAATTGCTTATTCTTAATAAACAATATAGTGAACTCCACAAAAATACATGCATTTAGCCTTAATCTCCCTCTGTTTTTATTTTTCCTCCTAAATTACTTTTTGTTCTTTGTGCTGATGTCTAAATCACTAAGAATGGCCACAGGACTGTTACGCATCAATGAGATGAAGAATTCAGAGAAACACTGTCAATTTCAAGAATACCTTGCATGGAGGTTAAAGGCAGGCTTTCGAGGCCAGCAGTGGGAGGCTCTTCTGAGGACTGATGTATTCTCCACCTACTTGGTTCCTTTACGCTGCCTTCTGTTTTACAAGCAACATCAAGGGAGCTCTTTCAGCAAAAACATTTATTTGTAACTAACATTACCAAAGCAGTCTAGTACAACAGTCAGCTAATGGAAAGGGCACTCTAGAACAGCAGTAATAATTGTTTCCATGCCAACAGCACTTTTCATTCTAATGCTGACAGCAGGCACTGTGCAGATAATTGCTTTGGATTTTGTAACTTTCATAAGCCTTATTTTGTATACAAATAAGTCTGTGGAGTGACCAGAGCTTAGCAGGACTACTGGAGAGTAGAAGGCTGTATGAAGTCACTCTGCTGTCATACATGCCGCAACATCCAGTCGTTGGGTTTATTTCTGTCTCCTCTCAGTACAACATTTAATCTGGATGGTAATTATGGTTTCATGTTTATATATGGTATCTTGGTAAACACAGGTTTTCTGCTTTGTCATGTCTAGGTTTGATCTGAAACTGTACTGTATGATATAGTAGCCACCAGCCTCTGTGGCTATTTAAATCTAAATATTGATTGATTAAAATTAAATACAATTTAAAAATTCAACTCCTCATTCTCACCAGCCATGTTTCAAATGCTCAAGAGCCACACCTGGCTAGTGGCAACCACCTTCAGCAGTACAGATACAGAATATTTCTATTGTTAAAGAAACATCTATTGAACAGAGGTCACCTAGAACATCATTTGTATTTTTGTTTTTAGAATATTCGGCCAAAAAAGAAATAAAAGCCTGAATAAAGATCAACTCTGACTTTTAAAGAATGTCAATAATTTGAAAAATCAGTCACATGAAAAATGAGTTCTTGTTTTAGAATTCTGTTTACAAATTCATGGGTTTTTTTGTTTTGTTTTTATTTCAGAGGCAGAGATACAGACAGAGGAGAGACCAACAGAGAGAGAGTTCTCATCTGCTAGTTTATAGCTCACATGCCCATGGGCTGGATCAGGCCAAAGCCAGGAGCCAGGAACTTAATCCAGTCTCCCACGTGGATGGCAGGAATCCAACGACTCGAGCCATCACTGCTGTCTCCTGAGGTGTGCATTAGCAGGAAGCTGGAATCAGAGGCAGCGCTGACCTGAACCCAGGTACTTGATATGGGACATAAGCATTCCAAACAGCATCTTTTTTTATTTTATGCTTTAAGGTGAACAATTTCATGTATTTCATATACACAGATTTAGGAGCATAGTGATACTGCCCACACTACCTTCCCATCTGCCTAGGCTCCACACTCCCCCCTCCCTCCTTTCCTATTTTCCTTTAATTTTTTACAATGATCTACCCTCAGTTTATTTCATACTCCTAAGATTAACCCTATATTAAGTAAAGATTTCAACAAATAATAATAGAAAAAACAGTTCCTCAACAGTTGAGACAAGGGCTAGGCTGTGAATAATCATCGAGGGGCCGGTGCTGTGGTGTGGTGGGTAAAGCTTGCCACCTGCAGTGCCAGCATCCCCTATGGGCGCCAGTTCGAGTCCCAGCTGCTCCACTTCCAATTCAGCTCTCTGCTGTGGCCTGCGAAAGCAGTGGAAGATGGCTCAAGTGCTTGGGCCCTGTGCCTGCATGGGGGACCCGGAAAAAGCTCCTGGCTCCTGGATTCCAATCGGCTCAGTGCTGGCCATTGTGGCCATTTGGAGAATGAACCAGTAGATGGAAGACCCCCACCCCCACCCGCCTCTCTGTGGCTCTGCCTTTCAAATAAATACATGAATCTTTGGGAAAAAGAAAAAAATCATTGAATCTCAACATCAATTTCACTCATATACAATACTCTTTTTGTATTCTATTAGTTACCATGTATCAGAGAAAATAGTATTTGTCTTTTTGGGACTGACTTATTTCAATAAATGTAATGTTTTCTAGTTGCATACATTTTGTTGCAAAAGACAGGATTTCATTATTTTTTATGGCTGAGCAATATTCCATAGTGTATATATATATCACATCTGTGTTATCCAGTCATCAGTTGATGGACATCTAGGTTTATTCCGTATCTTAGATGTTGTGAACTGAGCTACAATAAACATGTGAGTGCAGCTAACTCTTTCATATGTTGATTTTCATATGTTGATTTCATTTTGTTTGGGTAAATTTCCAGGTGAGGGATGGCTGGGTCATATGATAGATCCATTTTGAGATTTCTCAGGTATCTCCAAACTGTCTTCCACAGTGGCTACATTCCCACCAACTGGACTAGGGCACTTTTTTCTCTACGTCCTCACCAGCATTTACTGTTTGTTGATTTCTGTACGAGAGCCATCTAACTGCAGTGAGATGAAACCTCATTGTGGTTTTGATTTGCGTTTTCCTGATCCTGAGCACTTTTTCACGGGTCTGTAGGCCATTTGAATTTCCTCTTTTAAAAAATGCCCATTCAAGTCCTTTGTCTACTTCTTAACTGGATTGCTCTGTTTATTTGTTGTTGATTTTCTTTAGCTCTTTAAAGATTCTGGGTATTAATTCTTTTTCAGTTGCATAGTTTGCAAGTATTTTCTCCCACTCTTGTCAGTTTCTCTTCACTTTACTGAGTGCTTCTTTTGCAGTGCAGAAGCTTCTTGGCTTGATGTAATCCCATTTGTCTATTTTTGCTGTGATTGCCTGTGCTAGTAGGGTCTTTTCCAAGAAGTATTTGCCTTTGCCAATGTCTTGCAGAGTTTCCCTAATGTTCTCCTCTAGTAATTTGATGGAATCAGCTCATAGATTTATATCTTTGATCCATTTTCAGTTGATTTTTGTATAAGGTATAAGGTAGGGGTCTTGTTTCATACTTTTGCATGCAGAGATCCAATTTTTCCAACATCATTTGGTGAAGAGACTGCTCTTTCTCCAGGGGTTGATTTTAGCTCCTTTGTCAAAGATTAGTTGGTTGCAGATGCGTGGATTGATTTCTGGAATTTCTATTCTGTTCCATTGGTTTACATGTCTGTTTATGTTTCTGTACCAGGCTGTTTTGATTATAACTGCCCTGTAGTATGTCTTGAGATCTGGTATTTTGATGTCTCCAGCTTCGTATTTGTTAAGATTGCTTTAGCTACTCAGGGTCCTTTGTGTTTCCATAGGAATTTTAACATAATTTTTCTAGATATGAGAAGAATATCATTGGTATTGGGATTGCACTGAATCTGTAAATTGCTTTTGTTAGTATGGACATTTTGGTGATATTAATTCTTCCAATCCAGGAACATGGAAAATTTTTCCTTCTTTAGTGTGTGTGTCTTCTACTACTTTCTTTAATGTTTTAATACATGCAGACTGAACAACATGCTCCTAAATGAATAGTGGGTTACAGAAGATATCAAAAGAGAAATAAAAAAATTCCTGGTGGGAGGGGCACTGTGGCATAGCCAGTAAAACTGCCTGCAGTGCCAGCATCCCATATGGGTACTGGTTTGAGACCCAGCTGTCCCACTTCTGACCCAGCTGTCTGCTGTGGCCTGGGAATGTAGAAGAGGATAACCCAAGTCCTTGGGCCCCTGCACCCACTTGGGAGACCCAGAGGAGGCTCCTGGCTCCTGGCTTCAGATCAGCCTAGCTCTGGCTGTTGCAACCGTTTGGGGAGTGAACCTGTGGATGGAAGATTCTCTCTGTCTCTCTCTTTCTCTTTTTCTCTTTTTCTCTCTTTCTGCCTCTGCTTCTCTGTAACTCTGCCTTCCAAATAAAAATAAGTAAATTTTTTTTAAAAAATGCCTGGAAATGAGTGAAGATGACAATACAAACTATCAAAAAAAAAAAAAAAAACTTATGAGATACAGCAAAAGCAGTGTTAAGAGGGAAGTTTATAGCAATTAGTCCCTACATCAAGAAATTGGAAAGGCATCAAATAAATGAGTTTCAATGAATCTCACAGACATAGAAAAACAACAACAAACCAAACCAAAAAGAGTAGGAGGAAAGTAACAACTAAAATTAGAGAAGAAATTAGCAAAAATTGAAACAAAAAATACAAAAGATCAGTGCAATGAAGAGCTGATTTTTCTGAAGAAACAAGCAAAACTGATACACCATTGGCCCAAGTAACCAAAAAAGATGTAGAAGACCCAAATCAATAGAATCAGAGATGAAAAAGGAAATGTAAAAACATATACCACAGAAATTAAAAAAATCATCAGGAATCACCACAAAGAACTGTATGACAACAAATTGGGAAACCTTGAAGAAATGGATACATTCCTGGACACATCCAACCTATCTAAATTGAATCATGAAGACATAGAAAATCTAAACAGACCAATAACCAAGATGGATATTGAATCAGTAATAAAGACCTTCCCAACAAAGGAAAGCCCACAACCGGATGGCTTCATTGCTAATTCTTCCAAACTTTTAAAGAAGAACTAATTCCAATTCTTCTCAAACTATTCAAAACAATTAAAGGGATGGAATCCTCTCAAACTCCTTCTATGAAGCTTGCATCACCTTAATTCCAAAATCAGTAAAATACTCAGCAAAGAAAGATAACTGATATCAATAGACTGATACCACTCATGAACATAGATGCAAAAATCCTCAACAAAATACTAGCTAATATAATCCAACAACATATGAGAATGATCATTCACCTAAAGCAAGTAGGATTTATCCTTGGTATGCAGGAATGGTTTAGCATTCAAAAATCAATATGTGATAAATCACATTAACAAATTGAATAATAAAAACCAAATGATTACTTCAATAAATGCAAAGGAAGAATTTGATAAAATACAACATCCTTTCATGATGAAACCCTTAAGCTAATTGGTTAAGGAAGGAACATTCCTCAACACAATCAAGGCAATTTATTACAAACCCATGTCCACCATTATATTGAATGGGGAAAAGTTAAAAACATTTCCACTAAGATCCAGAACCAGACAAGGATGTCCACTTTAACCACTGCTATTCAGTATAGTCATGGAAGTTTTAGGCAGAGCCATTAGATAAGAAAAAAAACTCAAAGAGATACAAATTATAAAGGAGGAAGCCAACCAGCATGTTAACCAGTAGGCCAAATGTGCCAACCCCATAAATTAATGTTTCTAAAATAATTAACATGTTCACAAAAAAAGTATTTATTTGCATAGCAGCTTTCTTCTAAGTTATAATTTTACTCTGTTAGCAT